ACATATATCCGTCAACAATGACTTTTACCAAGTCCTTCAAACAAGGGAAAAGCAATCAGGAGCCTCTGTTCAGAGAGGACTAATTTTTCTTAGGTTATATAGAAGTTATATATTTATAGATAGATAGATATAGAAGTTCAGCACTTTTATATGACAGCATACAAGTAATCATAAAGTATCTTTTGCCTAAGGAGTTGAAAACACTTAAAGAAAAAGTTATGATCCCTTTTATAAAGTAGTAGGAATTACTTCCCTCTCTCTCTGTCACTTGAGGGTCTACAGCTTACATCTTATCATGGGATCGCTTTTAGTAATGAGCTATAAAGTTTTAGTCCCATGATTGTTAAATGGAACAGTCACAGGGGTTTGTGTTGTTTTGATTTTAGTTTCACTTGTACATTTCAGGAAATCAAATAGCAGTGTGACTCTGAATAGGAACTGTTTGATGTCTTGGAATTACTTTTAAAAAATGAAATATTTTAGGCATTCAAAAGAGACAGATACTTACCTGCTTAGCAGATTAATAAATAAAACATTATGGATATAATTGTATGTTCCCTGCCCTATTGCATTTTTTCTTTCCCTCCTCAAAGGTAAGCACTGCCCTCAGTGTTTATCCTGTTATGTGTGTTCATACTTTTGCTGCGTGTATCTATGCAAGCAGTATTTGTTTTACCTGTTTAACTTTATAGAAATTTTATGTAAACTGTATAGATATGGAAGGATAGAGGCATTGTGATACAGATAGGTATGTATATACATATATATACATACATATATCTGTGATACAGATAGGTATGTATATACATACATATATACATACATATATATACACCTCAAAATAGATTTGAGGTAGTATATAAATCCATTTTACTACTTACTGCTATAGCACATTCATTTTCACTGTTGCACTCTATGGTATGAATATGTCACGTATATTACCATTTATTGATACATTCTCTTATCAATGGATAGTAAAGTTATTTTCAGTTGCTTCAAGAATGTTTGCTATGTTTCCTTACATACTTGAATAAGTTGTTCTTGAGTACATCTTTAGTCATGAAATAGGGTTATGGGTGTGCATGTGTGTATGTGTATATATATTTTTACATATATAGATAAATATTCTCTCTCTCTCTATATATATATACATATATATACATATATATATATGTATATATATACACACAGTCAACTCTTAATTAAATATATTGCCCAGTAGGCTGGGTGTGGTGCCTGTCATCCTAACACTTTGAGAGGCAAAGGCAAGAGGATCACTTGAAGCCAGGAGTTTGAGACCAGCCTAAGCAACATAGCGAGACCTCGTCTCTATAAAAAATAGAAAAATCAGCCAGGTGTGGTGCTGTGTGCCTATAGACCCAGCTACATGGGAGGCTGAGGCAGGAGAATTGCTTGAGCTCAGGAGTTTGAGGTTGCAGTGAGCTATGATGATGCCACTACACTCCAGCCTGTGCAACAGAGCAAGACTCTATCTCCAAAAAAAAAAAAAAAAGAATATATATATATCCCAGTAGATTCCCAATGTGCTCGTACTAATTTACATGCTCCAAATAGCTTATTTTTACTTGCTCCATGTCCCTGCCCAAACTTGATGCTGTCATGCCTTAACTTTTGGCAAGCTCTAGTGGGTATGAATGGAATATCATTGTGGCTTTATTTATGTATTTGATAATATATATTTATATTAAGATTGTATATGTAATCATCATGTTTCCTCTTCTGTGAAATGCTTGTTCATGTCTCTTACCCATGTTTATATTGAGTGGTTAATCCTTTTCCTGCTAGTATGTGTGGATTTTTGTTTCTATTTTTTTGTTTCCGGATAATAATTGTGTATGTAATGCAGGTGTGTCTTCTGTCAGTCTGTAACTTATCTCTTTATTCTCTTTGTGATTTCTTATAGTTGACTTAATTTTAATGTAATTGGATGAAGTGTTTTCTTTTGTGGCTTATGCATTTTGTATGTTAAGAAATATTTTCTTGGGCCGGGCGCTGTGGCTCACGCCTGTAATCCTAGCTCTTGGGAGGCCGAGGCGGGTGGATTGCTCAAGGTCAGGAGTTCAAAACCAGCCTGAGCAAGAGCGAGACCCCGTCTCTACTATAAATAGAAAGAAATTAATTGGCCAACTGATATATATATAAAAAATTAGCCGGGCATGGTGGCGCATGCCTGTAGTCCCAGCTACTCGGGAGGCTGAGGCAGAAGGATCACTCAAGCCCAGGAGTTTGAGGTTGCTGTGAGCTAGGCTGACGCCACGGCACTCACTCTAGCCTGGACAACAAAGTGAGACTCTGTCTCAAAAAAAAAAAAAAAAAAGAAAAAGAAATATTTTCTTTACCTGAGGTTATAAAGATATTATCTTCTCACAGTTTTAAATTTTCTCTTTTATACTTAAATTCTTAATCCTTGGAGAATTAAATATTTTGAATAGGGTAAGATAGAGATATATTTTTCTTTTTTCATATGAATAACAAGCTCTCCCAGCAGCATGTGAGAAATAAGAAAGTCTTTTCCTACACATGTGCAAAGCCATCTCTGTCCTATGTCAAGTTCCTTTCTAGGCATGTTTGTTCCTGGGCTTTTTTTTCTGTTCTGTTGGTCAATTTGTCTGTCCCTGTGCTAACACTGTCTCAATTACTATAGTTTTATTATAGGTCTTGGTGAGTGAAAGGGCAAATCCTTTCATCTCATTTATTCTTTTTCAAAACTGTGTTGGCTAAATGAACAAGGGGACAAATAAGGGAATCCAGATACAATCAACAAAATAAAGTACAAAGTACCAGGAACTGCTCTGTTTATAGCTGCTATTCTTTTTTAATGACGGGACATCTGGCAAACCCACTCTAATGGGCAGTTTCAAAAATTTTTCCCCTACTATATTGCACAAACAATAACATTTCCCAAAGTCTTTGTATTGCAAACAACAGAATAAATAGTTCTGTATGTTACAGACAACATCAATAAAAACAACAAAAACTAGTTAGCTATTTTTGGCACTGTATACTTCTAGATAAATTTTAGAATCAGCTTTGTTAACTTCTGGTAGGATATTTATTAGAGTTACATTGAATTTATCAGTTACCATTTTTATAAATTTGAGTCTATCCATGAAGCTGATGGGAATGGATTTACTAATATAAGAACAGAATTTGTTTACATTTTATTTACATTTTTAAAAATTTTGATTTTTGACTTATAGAAAAGATGCAGAACTTACGCAAATAAATATTGTATATCCGTCACCCAGAATCCTCAACTGTTACCAAAAAGAAATAATTGACATCTATTAAGTTCTTGACTCTGCAAAGTAGTTTAAGGTCTTAATGAATGAAACTTCTCAAGTCTAAGAAATCTACATTGACCTGCTCCTGGAAATGGGAGAACCATGTGGCCCTAAATGTGACATGGTGTCTGAAGAGATGGCTGGGCCTGATACTGAGATCAACTTTAATCATTGTTGTTGGTCTATATCCTTATGTGAACTGAAATAATAGATCCACTGCCACCCTCTTGCTCCCAAAGTTTCTACTTTGATCTTATCTGTTGAAAGAAAAGGTTTTCAGACAGCTACAGGCTAAAGGATTCAAATCAAGTCTGCCTCAGGATAACATAAGAGTGGCTTCTGGAAGCTTGGCTCAGCTGAGGCAGAGATACCTCTATTGGAGGAATGAGATGGTTTCTCAGGAGAGACAGTGGGGGGTAGTGGTTAAGGTTGCAGGCTTGGTGCCAGACTTCCTCAGGTGTTAATCCCAGTGTTGCTGATTTTTAGTTTTGGAACCTTGGGCAAGTGACCTAACAACCTTGCACCTTAATTTTTTTCCATCTAAAGTGAAGCTAACAATAATAATAATATCTATCATATTGGACTATTGTATGAATTAAATGAGTGTATAGGAATATCCACATCTCTCAAAACAGTGCTTAGCAGATAGTAAGTGATCAGTAATTATAAGCTGTTACTAATGTCATTGGATAAAGCTATAATTTTTTAAAGATCTTGAATCCTTTTTGTTAGATTTATTACTAGGTACCGTATAGCTTTTTGTTTTTTTACTGTAAATAGTAGCTTTTAAAATTTTCTATAATCGTTTCAGGTTTCTTGTATATTTACCAGACCTGCTGAACTCCCTAGGTCTAATAGTTTTCATGAGAAATATTGACATAGAAAATTCAGAGGATCATATCCTTGCAAATAATGACCATTTTGTTTCCTCTTTTCTACTCCTCTTATATGTCACTTCTCTTGTTTTAAGATTGCTGCCTAGTTCCTTCAGTAAAACTATTGGAATCTATAATCATAGAAATCATTATTTTCCTCCTATTCTTTTTTTTTTTTTTTTTTTGAGACAGAGTCTCGCTTTGTTTCCCAGGCTAGAGTGAGTGCTGTGGCATCAGCCTATCTCACAGCATCCTCAGACTCCTGGGCTCAAGCAATCCTACTGCCTCAGCCTCCCAAGTAGCTGGGACTACAGGCATGCGCCACCATGCCTGGCTAATTTTTTCTATATATATGAGTTGGCCAATTAATTTCTTTCTGTTTATAGTAGAGATGGGATCTTGCTCTTGCTCAGGCTGGTTTCAAACTCCTGACCTCGAGCAATCTGCCCACCTTGGCCTCCCAGAGTGCTAGGATTACAGGCGTGAGCCACTGCACCTGGCCTTCCTCCTATTCTTAAAGGAAATATTCCCTGCTTCGAAAGCATTGTATATGTTTTTTGGTAGATAGACTTTATTCTCTTTTATTTCTATGTTACTAAATATCACAAATGACAATTGTATAAAATTTGTCCTTGCATTTATTCACGTGATCATCTGGTCTTTTTCTTTTCATTTTCAATTGAGGTGAATTATATTAATAGATTTTCTAATGTTAAGGTATCCTCATATTTTTGAAATAAACCCTAGTTGGTGTGATGTATTCTTTTCTTATATATTACTAGATTTAATGTTAATATTTTTGCATATTCTGTGAAATTTCACTCAAAATTTTGTTTTCACAGTGTCTTTTTCTCCTCTTGTTAATTAATATATCCTTTTAAAATGAGTTGAGAAATGTATGTTCTTTTCTAGGAGAGTTTGTATAAAGATATACTGGAGTTATGGCTGCAAAATGATGGCACCCTCGGAGAGGTGATTGGATCAGATTTAATAAAGAGACAGTTTACTAAGGTGTGAGCAGGATTAAAGGAACCGACAGTGGATGGGTGAAACATCCAGAGAATGGCCATCCTGAGAAGCTGTTATCACCGGGGAGAGAGTTATTATCAAACCTGGTGAGAACTGTCACCTTGGCAGAGGTGTCTCACAAAACTTTAGACTTACATAGCAGAATGAAACCACTGCCCACCCAGCCTTGGCAAGGCACAGAGGGAGCCAGGCAGTAAGTACCCTTAACCCCGCTGTCATCTTGCACTCCAGTCTCCTCTGTTTCCTGCTGATGCTTCCCATTGGCCAAACCCAGAAGTTTATGGACAAGGGAATCTTGTCCAGACTTAACCTTGTTAGCCTTGTGGTGTACACATCAGAGTAGAAAGAGGATCTGGAGGAAACAAATTGAGAGAAAAAAGTATCAATACTTTGAAGGCTTGGTAGAACTCACATGTAAAATTCTCCTGTAGGACTATCTGGGCCTGGGACTTTTTTGAGTGAGTAAGTTTTTACTGAATGATTTAAGTCTAGTTGGGTTTTTCCATTCTTATGTCAGTTTTGATAAAGTGTATATTTCAAGGCAATCTCTCTGTCTGTCTCTATACTCTGTCCCCCTTTTCATTCATAATATTGTTTGTATGTTTTCTTTTTATTCTTTTTTTTTTTTCTTTTTATTCTTGATTAATCTTGCCAGATGTCTGTTTTATGAGTTTATTTTCAAAGTCCTAACTTTTGATTTTGCCTATTGTTCTTTTTTTGGCCTCTATATCATTGCTTTCTACTCTTAACTGTATTTTATTTTTCCTTCTGCTTTCTTTGGGCTTACTCCATCATTTTTCTGACTTCTTGGGTTGGACCCTTTGCTCATTTTTTTTCACTCTCCTTTTCTAATATAGGCATTTGAAGCTCTTGAATTTCCCTTTAAGTACTTCTTTAACTGGATCCCATGATTTCTAACCTACAATGTTTTCTTTATCATTCAGTTCTAGGTGTGTTCTAATTTCTGTTATGACTTCTTCTTGGTTCATGAATTATTTACAGTTGTATTTTAAATTTTTCAATATTTTTTATGGTTGGCCTTTAACTTGATTGCATTATAGTCACAGAACAGTCTATATGTTGCTAATTGGTTTTTACTGATACTTGATTTGTGTCATTCTACATTGTCAGTTTTCATAAACATTTTGTTCATGCGTGAGAAGGTTGTATTCTAAATGTTGGGTGAGGTTTTATTCTATATGTCCTTAAATCAAGCTTATTAGTTGTATTGTTCACATCTTCCATCTCTTACTAAATATTGGTGTTCTTGATCTACTAATTCCTGAAAGAACTATGTTAAAATTTCTTTATGACTATGAATTTGTCAACTTCTCTTTATAATTTTGTCAAATTTTTCTACATATAATTTGAAGTTCTCTTAAGTAAATATTTGTTTAGAATTTTTCCCTGGAGAATTGTAGAGAGCCTCTTTATCCGTAATAATGCTTTTTCCCTAGGCCTATTTTGTCTGATATTAATGTCAACTTTTTTGTGTAAATATTTGCCTAGTATAATTTTTCCTATCCCTTACTTTCAGTCTCTGTGTCCTCATGTCTTAGATATATCTCCTGTAAATGACACATAGTTAGACTTTTCCCCAACATAATCTGAGACTGTCATTTAATTGGCAAGTGTAATCCATTTAAAAGTATTATGGTGCTTTGGTGGGCCAGGGTGGGAGGATCATTTGCAGCTAGGAGTTTGAGACCAGCCTGGCAACATAGCAAGACCTTTTCTCTACAAAAAAATAGCAGCCCGGTGTGTTGCATACCCGTGGTCCTAGCTACTCTGGAGGCTGAGGAGGGAGGATCGCTTGAGCCCAGTTCAAAGCTACAGCTATGAGCTATGATTGTGTCATTGTATTGGAGCCTGGGTGACAGAACAAGTCCCTGTCACTTTAAAAAAGAAAAAAAAAAGGTATTATGATTACAGTTATATATTTTAATACCTTTTGTAATTATTTTTTATATTAAATATATTATTATTTAATATCTTTGTGCTATTGACCATATGGTTTGCTTGCATTTTTTCTCCTTTCCTATATTCTATTAGTTTGGGTTTCCTTCATCCCATACTTCCATTCTTACCTTTTTTCACTCCCCACCATCTGGGAGCTTTGAATTCTTTTAGAGGCTACTCTTAAATTTTTAGCCTGCATTCTTCAATACAATCTAATGTTAAATCAGTTATCTCTCTGTCTTCCTGAATAAGAACCCCACAGTTTATCTTGCATGTTGCTATGGCTCAGTGTTATAATTCCACTTTATTTCTATAGCATGGAATTAGTTGTTGGTATTCTTATTTGATAAAGTCTGCTTGTTTGGATTCACCCACCTGTTTACCAACGTCTCTGCCTTCTATCCCTTCTTTCTTCATACTTCATTCTTCTGTGTTAAATTTCCTTCTTCCAGAGGTAGGCTTTAAAACTTTTTTCAATTAGAATCTATTAGTGCTAAACACTTTTTTTGCTTGCCTAAAAAAATTTTTTTATCATAACTATTGGATAATTTAGCTGGATATAAAAATAGGGGTTAACAGTTATTTTTTTCTCCACCATTAGGTGATGTTATTCTGTTTCATTGTCTTCTAGCTTCAGATGAGAAGCCTGCTTCTAGCCATTGAGAAGTCTGCTTCTCAACTCTTAGAGATAATCTAGTTTTTTTTTCTCATAGCTGCTTTTTAATCTTCTCTTTGTTCATGGTGCTTTGCAAATTTACTGTTATGTCTTCCTGATACGACTTATTTTTATATCTCTGGCTTCTTATCTGTCCTTGCATAAGAGATTTTATTTTTTTAAAGCACCTGAGAAATTGTCATCCAATTGCCTCTTCATATTTTACCTTTATTCTCTCCCATCTCTCCTTTTGGAAATTGTAGAAACCACACATTGGGACTTCTGTCTACCTTCATGTTTCTTAAAATCTTTTTTTTTTTAGTTCATTATCTCTTTATGCTGTACTCTGAGTAATTTCTTATCTTCACTTTTCAGTATTGTAATTCTTTTTTCCTCTGCTTTTTAACCTACTCATTGAGTTTTATCTTTTATTGAATTATGTTTTGAACTCCTTGGAATAACTTAGTGGGTTGATTACTTATTGCCTTCAATTGTGCAAAAACAAACAAAAATGAGTAAATCTCTATGCTTCTAATTTTTTTTTTTTGTTTTGTTTTCCTCTTGGGGAAAGTAAGCGGGATTGGCTAGCTGCTTTCTGTTACGTTCTCTTCCTGCTCAAAAATTCCATGACAGCATATCATGGTGGCAAGTACACTGTTGAGCAAACGAGCACTATGAACAGGGAGGCAGGAAGCTGGAAGCCCGTCATCGTGTTGTTCTCCACTCCCAGAGGAAGAGCAGCTCCTGAGTCATGTAGGGAAACCTTTTGGCGTTGTACCTCTCAGGGGCTCACAGCTGTGGCAAGGATATGTTTCTATGGCAACAGGAGGCTTAATTCTTTCTCTGTACTCAGCATATGCAGAGAAAGTTACATGATAAACTTGTAGAGCTTTCTATATTCTAGGCAGGCTGGATTCATTCTTTTTCTTCTTCTAGATCACACTGTCCAAAATAGTAGCCATTAGCCACAGGTGGTTATTTTAACTTTTTTTAATTTAATTTTTTTTTTTCTTTTAGAAACAAGGTCTCACTTTGCTGCCCAGGCTGGAGTACAGTGGCACAATCATAGCTCACTGCACTCTTGAACTCCTGGGCTCAGGCGATCCTCCCACCTCAGCCTTCCAATTAGCTCAGACTACAGGCACGAGCCACCATACCTGGCTAATTCTTTTATTTTTTGTAGGGACAGGGTCTCACTATGTTGCCCAGGCTGGTCTCAAACTCCTGGGCTCAAGCAATCCTCCCACCTCAGCCTCCCAAAGTGCTAGGATTATAGGCATAAGCTACCATGCCCAGCCATTTTAGTTTAAATTAATGAAAATTTAAAATTCTGTTTCTGCATCACTCTAGCCACATTTCCAGTGCTCAGTAACTACAAATGGCTAGGGACTGCTATGACCAGATAGCACACATAAAGAACATTTCCATCACTGCAGAAAGTTCTATTGGACAGTGCTGTTCTAAACTCTTCCATAGTAGTCTTATAGTAGATAGAGAATTGGTAAATGTGTAATTTCAGAAAATGGATCAAGTGAACTTGTTGGTGTCTAGAATCTAGGAGGCTCTAAGAGTTACTGCTGTTCTGTATCATTTGTGTGTGGGAGAATTCAGAGGGCATTGCACCACGAATGCTTTATGGGATCATCGGTGATTCCAGGCCTAGTTGTCTTAGCTATAATTTGGTACTGTGGGAAGAGGGGAAACTAGGTAAGTTGAAAGGCAAATGAACCCCCGATGTTGAATAAGCTTTGGGGAAAATGCAGAAAATTTTCTGCCTGGGTTTATTGATTTTAGGTAACTGGGATTAAGCTCAGACTCGGCAGGTTGGGTTTGTGACCACCAGCACAAAGTTGTAGTACTTGAAATTTGACTCAGGTTGGAAATTCCTTGTAATAAAATCATCTTTTCTCTCCACCCGCTTAAATTGCCATCTTTGTAGAATAGTTTAAAATTCTCAAGAAAAGAAAAGATACCCCTGTCATACATACTCACACACTCATAGCTTCCTCAATATAGTGTCATTTCAGTTATTGGACTACAAGGTTAAGAACAACATGAGTCACACCAGCCCTGACCCCAATAGGCTACACAGAGGGAAAGGAGCACTGACCCCAACCTTGTTCTTTGCCCATGGCAGACATTGCTACTGTTTACTTCACTCTTTACTGTGAAGCTCTGTAGGGACTCATGATCCTTGTCAACATAGTACTTCATGTGCCCACAGTCCATACCAACTGCTGGAATTAACAGGGGAGACTAAACCTGTTTACTGTCCTTTGGTAGGGATTTGAGGCTTGGAGTTAGATACTCACAGAAGGGATGTTGTTGTTGCTTATAGCAGAGTACTTACTATGACCAAATGAGTTTGAGAAAGCTAAAAAAAAAAGAAGTCTCTTGTAAGTTTGACCCATGGTACAGAGTAGGTGCCTTAAATAAAAGTTCAGCGAAGATACACATGATGAAATACGGTAATTTAAGGGATAGAGATAAAGATCATTTGTGTTGGAAAGGGGTTCAGTACTTGGTTTATTCTGGTGATTTTTGTAGAGTTGGCAAAGGTGGCTTAGAGTTGACTGTTG